CTTCTTCTTCTTCTTCTTCTTCTTCTTCTTCTTCTTCTTCTTCTTCTTCTTCTTCTTCTTCTTCTTCTCCTTCTCCTTCTCCTTCTCCTTCTCCTTCTTCTTCTTCTTCTTCCTCTTCTTCCTCCTCCTCCTCCTCCTCTTCCTCCTGCTCCATATTTTGTTGTATGTTCTGTGCTAAATTGTTGTGCTTCCTACTCACAATGACAGGAAGGCATGTTGTCTGTATTCAATGGGGTCAGAGGGTACTTTGACTATGAGATGTCTAAATTCTTCCTTTCTCTAATTTCATCATTAAAGCTTTCCAAATTTCTTGTGTCTATGCCGTTTTAAATGATTTCATGTGATTGTACATCAATACATTGAATATCAAATTTAAATCCAACGTTATCTCCTTCCTTTAGAACATAAGAGAACTCACTGTCTGAATTCTGGGAGTTTTCCTCTTGCTACTAGTTCCTGCTAGCTCTACGCAAACTGCTGTAGTGTCACCGAAGCAGGATAGAACAAACTCATGAGCATCCCGAAAGCCTCCTAAGTGTGCAGGCTAAAAAGAGCAGTGCAGTTTGGTAAGCTCTACTGGAGAAAGCAGAAGGAAAAGGGTTGCAGGAAAGATTAGAGAAATGTGGTTGCTCGTAAACTTAATCTACAATTAAGTCCACAAAGAATGTAGTAAACATCTGTGATGCCATAGGAACCTCAGGAGATTCTCAGGAGGCAAAGGCCTGCATGGGTAGTCAGAATCAGAACAGGAGAAAGGGACCTTGGAGGTCTTCTAGTCCACCCCCCTGCTCAAGCAGAAGACCCTATACCATTTTAGATCAGTGACTGTCCAGTCTCTTCTTAAAAACCTCCAGTGATGAAGCATCCACAATTTCTGGTGGCAAGCTGTCCCACTGGTTAATTGTCCTCACTGTCAGGAAATTCCTCCTTAATTGCAGATTGCTTCTCTCCTTGGTTAGTTTCCATCCATTGTTTCTTGTCCTGCCCTCTGGTGGTTTGGAGCATCATTTGATTCTTTCTTCTTTGTGGCAGCCCCTCAAATATTGGAATACTGCTATCATGTCCTTCCTAGTCCTTTTTTTCTCTAATAGCCTTACCCAATTCCTGCAACCATTCTTTGAATGTTTTAGTCTCCAGGCCTTTAATCGTCTTAGTTGCTCTTCTCTTTTTCCAGTTTCAACATCCTTTTTGTAATGTGGTGACCAAAACTGGGTGCAGTATTCCGGGTGTGGCCTTGCTAAGTGGTACTAATACTTCACGTGACCTTGATTCTATGCCTCTGTTTATACAACCAAGGATCGTATTACCTTTCTGGGCTGCTGCTGCACACCGCTGGCTCATATTTAAGGGATCATCCACCAGGACTCCAAGGTTCCTCTCACAGATACTGCCTTACAATCATTTGTTTGGCAACTGTTTGAAATTGCAAAAAGTTACTTACAGCCAATCCCTGCTCTTACGATTGTCACGAGCACCTTCACACTCATGTGATCAGAATTCAGGCACTTGGCAACTGGCATGGATTTCAATGCTTACACTAGGGGTCCCAAAACTTATGTCAACATCCTTGTGAAAATTACTGCAAATTAGCTCCCCTCATACAATTTTTCAGGTGTGAGAATCCACATTTTTGGCCATGCTACCACTAACACAGTGAGATGGACGATCTGTCAACAATCCAACAGAGCATCTCCAATTGTCCCCTCCCTACCCCCAACTCCAAAACTGTTATTAATGTAAATCCCCCCTTCCCTACCAATTAGGAAAATGTAACTTCCTTTTCATCATCTGCTGCACTCAGTTTTCCTGCAGAGGTGAGAAGGACGAGAAGAGGACATTGAAAAGAAAAAGAGAAGGACGCATGTCGGAAAAAAAAGACTGGGTTCCTTGCCAACCGTTGCTCTAAGCCTCACTTCCTGCTCCCTTCAACCATGCCTGGCAAACAGATCACTTCCAAGGGGATGCATCCCTTGAGAGAATTTCTGGTAGAAACGGATCACGTCTGGGAAATGTTCAGTTGCCGTATTGTTACAATTGAACGATGGCCCTGAGAGGTTGGCTGCAGAAATTCAGATGACCACTAGATGGAGACAAACTTTCTTGCCTTTTTCTTTTCCTTGGTCTTTCCTGCCACCTTGTGTTTTTCTGTCATTTTGCACAACTGAAAGCCCCATTCAAGTGTAGAGGCTTGCAAGGATTTTCGCTTGTCAGCATCAGAAGCAATAAGAATATTGCCTAGATAATAAAAAAAAGAGAGACCCTTTCACTCCAGTGGAGAAGATTCTGTCCCAGTCCACCTTCCAGGTGCTGAAGCAAAGATGCTTCTCCATAAAAGATGATCCTTTCACAAGAAGGCTCTCCTCAGGAAGGCATCGTGTCTAGATACGCCATGATGGTTTCAGTTTAGAAGACAGGGTTGTCTGCCTCTACCGAAAGGGGAGGCAGACTGCAATTCTTCCATTCATGGATAACAAGTGAAGACTTGTCAAGGGCAATTGGCTTTGAAAGGAACCATCCGTTTCATGGTAGGACATATCTCAGGAACTTCTGAAGACGACTCATCTCCAAATACCTCCTCCTGTCCCCTTCTCTCAGTGAAGGCCTGCAGGCTGGGTCCCTCTATCTCTGTGTTCAGGCCGTTTTGTGCCCAATCTCACTTCTGCATACACAACTTCAGTATCTGGTTGAGCTTCCCTTTTGTGGAATCTGATGTCAGCATATGTCACATCGCTCGTTCGCTTGGTCAAAGTGTGCTATTAAGAAAGACAGGGACAGGAGAAGAAGGGTGGTTTTTAATTATGATATGAAAATCAGCAGATTCTCTAAACAGGAACTAAAAAAAAACCATCATGTGTTCTGAGACACCACAAAGAAACTGGCTCTCATAGACCATTTGTCAGAAACAGACATTACAAGAATGGTCCATATCATGTAGGTCATCTAATCCACCCCCGCCCAAGCAGGAGACCCTACACCATTTCTGACAGGTGGCAGTCCAGTCTCTTCTTGGAAGCTTCAAGTGATGAAGCTCCCACAACTTCTGAGGGCAACTTCTGTTCCATGGGTGGATTGCTCTCACTGTCAGAAAATTCCTCTTTATTTACAAATTGAATCTCTCCTTGCTCAGTTTCCACCCATTATTCCTTGTCTGGCCCCCAGGTGCTTTGGAGAATAGCTTGACCCCTTCCTCTCTGTGGCAGCCCCTCAGATACTGGAAGACTACCCTCCTGTCTCCCCTGGTCCTTCTCTTCCCTAGACTAGCCATGCCCAGTTCCTGCAACCGTTCTTCATATGTTTTAGCCTCCAGTCTCCTAATCATCTTCTCTGCACTCTTTCTAGAGTCTCAACATCTTTTTTATAATAAATTCATCCCCCTTTGGGATTTATGCAATGAATGATAAACCACCCAAATACCCAGGATTGAAGCAAGAAATTACTATGATCGCACTCCTCCCTTAGTTCACTTCCAAATCCTACACAAAAGTAAAGAAAATTAAGCTCTACACATTGCATGAAGGCAGCCATTATTACGAACATAGAGAGAGGTTTGCAAGCATATACAGGTAGTCTTTAACTTTCAAACATTCATTTAGTGACTGCTTGAAATGGCAACAGCACTAAAAAAAGTGATTGATATCCCCTTTTCACACTTATAACGGTTGCAGCATCCCCATAGTCATGCGATCAAAATTCAAGTATTTGGCGTGCATTTATAACAACTGTAATGTCTTGGGGTCATGTCATCACTATCTGTAACTTCCCAGTCAACTTCCAACAAGTAAAGTCAATGAAGGAAGCCGGATTCACTAAATGACCACATCACTCACTTAACAACTGCAGGAATTAACTTAACAACTGGCAACCACTTACAAACTGTGGCAAAACGTTTGTAGGGTTGATGCTGACTCAAGGGTCTCGTCTCCATTTCAAAGCCCTTAAGCCAGTGCTGTCTGAAGACATTTCCACAGTCATGTGGCCAGCATGACATCATGGGTGCTTTCTGCCCACTGAAGTGGTACCTATTTATCTACTTGTATTTGCATGCTTTCGAACTGCTAGGAGCCATGGTGGCTCAGTGGTTAGAATACAGTACTGCAAGCTACTTCTGCTGACCACTGGCTGCAGTTTGGCAGTTCAATTCCAGCTCAAGGTTGACTCAGCTTTCTGTCCTTCCAAGGTCAGTAAAACGAGGACCCAGATTGTTGGGGGCAAGATGCTGACTCTGTAACCCTCTGGAAAGCACTGTGAAGCATATATAAGTCTGTGCTATTGCCCTTCTATCTATTCATCCATCCATCCATCCATCCATCCATCCACGATGAGCAATGGCTAAAATGCAGTATTGCAGACTGACTCTGTCCACTGCCAGGAATTCAACCCTGACCAACTCAAGGTTGACTCAGCCTTCCATTCTTCCGAGGTGGGTAAAAGGAGGACCCAGATGGTTGGAAACCATAGGTTGACTCTATAAACTGCTTAGAAAGGGCTGTAAAAAGCACTGTGAAATGATATATAAGTCTAAGTGCTATTGCTATTGTTAGGTGGGCAGGAGCTAGGCAAAGACAGGTGCTTACTCCGCCATGCAACACTTGGGTCTTGAACCCTGGACTGTTGGCTTTCTAGTTGATAAACTCAGTGTCTTTAACCACCGAGCCATCGTACTACCCAGCCAGGAAGAAATGTACTTGTGAGATTCTGTCAACGTAACTTTACAACGAGGATAGAGGATATTGCTGCTGGGTGCGATTCTTGTCTGGACTACCTCACAGGACTGACAATCAATCATTAGTTGCATCATATTAACCCTGCTCCTGATGCCCCAACATGTGACGAGAGGTCAATGTTCTTTTAGAGTTGCAAATGTATGCAAATATTGTATGGAAATTGTGCTTTCTGTGAGACTAGAATGGGGGGATTTCCCAGCAAAATGATAGAAGCTTCTGAGGGGGAAAACTATTAATAATACAAAAGGCGAACTACCAGAGATTCATTTTGAATCTCTTTTGATGGCTAATTTAGAGTGTGACAATGAATGGGGATATAAAAATAGTGACTGAAAAGAATATACTTTGGCTTCTGAAAGACATAAATCTTTTTCAAGAACAGGCACGATTCGGATGCTTAAGACTTTGTTCATACAAAGTCACAATTCAGTGATTGTAACTTTTAAAAGGGAAAAAAATAGCCGTTTTAGGTGTGGATGGAAAGAGATGTTGTTATGAAAGGAAATAATAGAAAATTGCAACGGGAAATTAAAAGTGGTTTTTGAGAATAACCTCAACTGGATAGTTCTAGTCTAGTGAAAAGAAAGACTAGAGATGACATGACAGCAGTCTTCCAATATCTCAGGGGCTGCCACAAAGAAGAGAGAGTCAACTTATTCTCCAAAGCTCCGGAGGGCAAGAAACAATGGATGGAAACTAATCAAGGAGAGAAGCTACTGGAATTAAGGAAAACTTTCTAACAGTGAGAACAATTAACCAGTGGAGTGGCTGGACTTCAGAAGTTGTGGGTGCTTCATCCCTGGAGGTTTTAAGAAAAGTCTAGACAGCCATTTGTCTGAAATGATATAGGGTCTCGTGCTTGAGCAGGGGGCTGGACTAGAAGACCTCCAAGGTCCCTTCCCACCTCTGTTATTCTGTTCCATTCTTAATAAAGACATAAAAGTAAGAACCGTTTGGGGTACAAACCAAGCATCTGTAAGATGATATTTTATACAACGTAATAATCGGTTTTAAAAGAAAAGGTAAGAGAAAATACAAACGATTTTGGATAAGTTGAAAAAAAAGGAAGGATTATTTGAAACTGTCCAGAAAAGACAACTATTAGTCACTAGATCAGACTACTGCAGCAGCAACTAACTATACTAACAGTGAGATGGAAATAAAGCTGAACTCTGCAAAACAAGGACATTTTGAATTTGCAAATAAATTGGGGAAATGACGGGCACATGTCTTACAAAAAGAGAATGAAAATGAAGCGACCATACTAACTGACAAGAAAATGCTGTAATGACAGATAATGCAAATGTGCAAAAAGAGTTTCATCGATACTGTACTTTATATACAGGTCAAGAAATACTTCTAGAGGAATATTTACATAAACAGAATTTCCCGACAATCATAGAGAACCAAGGCAAGCGTTGAATAGAACTATAAAAATAAAGAAGCTATTAAAAAGACTAAAACAGGAATGGCATCTGCTCCAGAAGTCGTTCAGTCTTACTATCAATGCCTTGAGGATGAACTTTTACAATCTTTAAAATGGGTAATATTTTACACAATGGAAAAATTCTGGATACTAGAAAGAAGCTTCCTTGTTTCCCCTGCCATATATGGGATTGGTGGTGGGGTTCAATTTTTTTTACTACCAGTTCTGTGGGCATGGCTTGGTGGGCATGACAGGGGAAGGCTACTGTAAAAGCTTGCCTTACTTATCAACTGTCTTCCCAGCTGCAGCTAGTGAAGGGAATCAAGGCCCTTTCCTCCCCCGTAAGCCATGCAACTCACATTGCTCTCTTCTCCATTCCTCCCTGCGTGCCTTAGGATGAAGAGGGGGTGGGCCTGGGTCTTCCTCTGAACTCTCTCTCCCTTTTTCTGCCTCTCCCCCTGCTCTGCCCAGCCGGACTTTGCCCTTCTCTAGCCCCCCTCACAGCAAAAATAGCCACATTCCCATTTCCTGTCATCTGTCCGGCTTCCTCCTCGGATTCAGACTCTGACAGGGGCATGACATTATCCATCTCAACAAGATCAATCTTGTGAGAAGGTCACAAAAGGCCATCACATGACACCCCCCTGGACACTGCAACCGTCATAAATATGAGTCAGTTGCCAAGTGGCTGAATTTTGATCACATGACCTCAAGTTGCTGCAATGGACATAAGGGTGAAAAAAGCGGCCAGAAATCACTTTTGTCCCTGCTGTTGTAACTTCAAACAGTCACACTGAATGGTTGTAGGTCAAGAATTACCTGTATTGCGATTAAACATTCAAGAAACGTTATTTTTAAAACCCAAAAGTATTTAAACATCCAGTAAATGCCAAGTACAGGAATGGAAAGACCTTGGTGTGATTTCATGATGAAGCAGTCCTTTGATTTACCTTTTGGGCTTCTTTGGCTACCGTAGGCTCAGCCTCCGAAGGGTTTTCTGAAGCTCCTACAAGAGTGAAATAAAGAGGAACATGAAACATTATTCCTCAACCACATTCCAGAATTGTCATGAAGGAGTCAACAGATTTGCAGAGTTGGATGGGACCTTGTAGGTCATCTAGTCCAACTCCCCACCCAAGCAGGAGACCCTACACCATTTCTGACAGATAGCAGTCCAGTCTCTTCTTGAAAGCCTCCAGTGATGAAGCTCCTACAACTTCTGAAGGCAGCTTCTGATCCATCAGTTGATTGTTCTCACTGTCAGAAAATATCTCCTTAATTCTAGGTTGAATCTCTCTTTGATCAGTTTCCATCCATTATTCAGGTGCTTTGTCCATGAATGAACATGAATGAATGAGGGTGGCCACTACTGTTTAAATCCCTCCCTGGACCTCTTCCTTTTAAGAAGTTCATACCTCACTGAGCTTCAGAAGGACTTTTAAGATTTTTCTTTTAAATGGATCCAGGAATCATACCTCTCTCATAAAGTACATGGGAAGTTCTCTGACATTTTACTCTTATGTATACGTTTTCAGCAGCACAAACTGGAGTTCTCTTGGAAAAGGAAGATATCACAATCTTCCTTAACGACCTCATAATCCCTTGCAGGGTGGAGTCTGGACAACTGAACGGAGCTAGCAGAGTGGTTTACTGGCCGGATGCCCTTCCTGTCACCAATGCGGAGGTTTGTTCAGCTGATATATTCTCATCGTGCCCAGAGAGAGAAATATCTGCTTCTACCTAAGATCGAACTCACAGCCTTCTGATTGTGAGGCGAGAGCTCGATTTCTAGACCACGGCACCACTCTTGGTAAAGGAAGATATCCATATAAGAAACCGATGGAGATGGTGTTGTTTTTGCAAAAAGCATGCGTCTTTTGGAGAAATGTGTATCTAGAGGCTCGATATAATAGGGCATTGGGGCACCAGGAAAAGGTCAAGACTGGAAAAAAGGAAAGTTCTGCCAAGTCTGATAAGAAAGTCAGCTTGAATAATGTCAGGTGAGGCTCCGTTCAAAATTCAAGAAAGAAACCATTAGACTCCGTTGTTATAGAGAAAAGGACTTTTACTGGAAACCAAGTGGTAGCATCAAAAGAATTCAAGATGTGAGGCATTCGGCCCCAAAATCACATGTACAAAGTGATGGCAACGTTCCCACCCCCAAGAGCTCAAACTGGTGATCCAATCTGAGATGTGTATAATCTTATGTGGGGCATCTTCAGGTGGTGATTCAGACATCTGGCCGTTTGACCTTGGCCTGGATAGAAAGATGCTGCAGCTGCGCAGTAAGCAAGCAAGCATAAACAAGAAAGTTTTCCCAAGTTTTACAGTTCACCCTCTCAAGCCTCCAGCACTCCCCCCCCCACACACACACACAAAGTCCAATTTATCCTCCCTCCCCCTGTTACTATGGCAGCTGGAAAGACAAGCAGAAGATTCTTGAAGGCTGACATGGACGTTCTCGTTTTTTTCCTTTTGAAGACGTCTCGCTTCTCATCCAAGAAGTTTCTTCAGCTCTGACTGGATGGTGGGGAATGGAAGGATTTATATTCCTTGTAGACAGCTGGTCGTTTGCATCCTTTTAGAAGGTTGTTGAGGCCACTTGGAGGTTTGTCTGTGTCCTCAGGGTCACCTGAGTAGCGCTCCTATTTCCTGTAGTCTGCAATTCCCCCCCCCCCCGGAAATCCATTCCTACCCCCACACCATTCCAAGGGTGTTCATCCCAAACTGTATAGCTAAATGCCTGTAGAGATTCTCCTGGGACAACCAGGGCATGGAATGGCCGAGAATCTCTACAGACTTTTAGCTATACAATTAGGGGTGAGCACCCTTGGAATGGTGTGGGAGGAGGAATGGATTTCCAGAGGAAAAGTGCAGACTCAGGTGACCCTGAGGACACAGATCAACTTCCAAGGGCTTCAAGGACACCTGAGTCCAGCAGGCTCCTTCCCAAAACGAAGAGATTGCACTGGGATTGGTGGACAGTGGGCAGCCCAGAGGGGAAAGGAGGGATTTTAACCATGCAGTTTTTTCACGCGAAAACTTCAGAACTGGCTTTGGTTCTATTCAGTGATGGGATTCTACTGGTTCGGATCGGTTCGGGCGAACCGGTAGTTCCGCTGAGCATTTGGCCCCGCCCATCTGCCCCTGCTCTGTATTTTTTAGCACAGCTGATTCACACGGAAGAGTGGTTTGCTGCGCCTTGGCTGTTTTAGTCATCTCGTGCTGCAGTAGAAGGTAAGTATTAGACTTTAAAATGGGTTTAAAAAAAAAAATGCAGAGCACGCACACGAAGCATTGTTACACCGGTTGAATCGCACCACTGCTTCTATTGTGACTCATATGAATCTGCCAGTAAAGTTATACTCTTGGTAAAACAACGTCCCAGGCATTTCTTTGGCCGCATGTGCCAATGGGACAGTTGACACCAAGGACTATCAAGGTTCTTCTACTTGACTCAAAACCATGGAAAGAGACCTGTGGCTTGTTCAGCCTCTAAGATTTCTTCTTCTGCTTGACTCTTTCCGGCTGCCATAGAAATGGGGGGACGGGGGGAGGAATGATTGGGCTTCGTGGCGGGAAGAGTGCGGGAAGAGGTTGGAGTTCTGTGATTTGTAAAAGTTGGGATGCTTCCCTGCTTACTGCGCCAAATGCATCCATTTCTCTTTTCTAGGCCAAACTCAGGGGTTGGTATTCAGCAGGTTCTGACCAGTTCTGGAGAACCGGTAGTGGAAATTTTGAGTCGTTCAAATACCACCTCTGACCAGGGGTGGGATTCTACCGGTTCGGACTGATTCTGTCCTGTTTCTGACTGTTCGGTCCTGTTTCCGACTTCCGGAGGGCCTCATTATTTTTAATATACTATAAGATCATTATGTTTTATATTTTAAAATGTTATGTAGAATGTACTAAGCAGAATCAGAATAGAAACTATGTATTATTTTAAGTGTTAAATTTGGGGGGAAAATAGAAAGGTGTCATACTTCAACCAGTGATTACAGGAAAAAAGTTTGTGTTAAAGAGAAAAGATAAATAGATAATTGAAAAAGAACGGACAAAAGATACAAGTATAATGATTTAAATTGAGATTAAATAAATAAAATAGAATTAAGAGAGTGAAAAGAGGGGAGAAGACATATGGAAAATATAGAATGTTAAATAAGATATGAAATAGTATATAAGGTGAGCATGAATTTGATTTATGTCTGTACAAAAAGTTATAACCCGGGGTTAAGCCGCTTTCTAAAAAGAAGTTTTATGTTTTTATGTTATGTATTTTGTTTGCTTATCTTTGTTTATCGAGGATTAATGATGTTGAACAAGAACATATCAAATAGTAACAATATGAAATATAGTAATATGAAATACATGAAAGTATAAGCTTAATGAATAAAATTGAACAGAAATAAAGGAAGAAACAGTGAGAAGTTGGAAAAGAGTGATAAGATATGAAGTTGAATATATAAGATGCATATTAAATTGTGTGTGGAAACGTGATAATTTAGAATTATGTTGTACTTAAATGAGATGTTTTATTTGTTTTGTTAAGCAGTTTTTAGAAAAGATGTTCTATGTTCTTATGTTTTATGTTTTGTTTGTCTGTGTATTGTCTTTGAAAATTAATAAAATTTGTTATAATATGAAAGGACAGCTGTGGAAGAAGGCCTCACCTTTATTTTTCCTCTTGGATCTCCACACCAGGACTCCCAGGAGCAGCAAGAAGACAAGGGTGCCCACGGCTACTCCAACCCCCACAGGGATTCCAATTCCACTCCCGATATCTTGGCCGGGTGGGCCTGGTTGCCTGCCGTCACCATCGACGTTGGTGGTCTGCGACGGCTTCCCACGTCCTGCTTAAAGCAAGCAACACGAAGTGAGCTGGTCATAGTGGACAGCCTCCGAAGAGAAGCTCTTATCGACAGGCCGTCCTCGGCTTACGGCCCAATGTTTCTGTTGCTAACCAGCAGAAGCGGATTTCCTCCCGTTTAATGACCTTCCTTGCCACAGTTGTTAAGCGAATCACTGCAGTTGTCAGGGATATGGCTGTTTAAGGGAATCTGGCTTCCTCGTTGACTTTGTTTGTCGAAGGTTGCCAAAGGGGATCCCTGGGACACTGCAACCGTCATAAATGTGAGTCAGCGGCCAAACATCCGAGTTTTGATCACGTGACCACGAGGATGCTGCAACGGTCTTAAGTGTGAAAATGGTCATCGGTTGCTTTGTTCAGGGCCGTTGTAACTTTGAGAGGTCACTAAATGAACTGTCCTAAGTTGAGGACTACCTGTACTCCTCACTCAAGAGATACTCTTAGAATTGCAAACACAACATCCTGGGAGTGGGGGAAAGGGAGGAAAAACTATGAAACCTTCAGTGAAGACCTCAGCTCCCAAACCCCATCCCACCTCTTAGGCTAATACTATGGCTTAAGTCGTTGGCACAACAACACCACAACACATGTGATGTCACTGTGACTTCTACTGCCCTACCTGCTTGGGTTTCCATGCCAATGTTCTTTGTAGTCTCTGTAGCCTCTGTTAGACTTAGACTTATTGTATATACCGCTTCATAGTGCTTTACATCTCTCTCTCTAAGCAGTTTACTGAGTCAGCCTATTTGTCCCCCAACAATCTGGGTCCTCATTTTACCGATCTTGGAAGGATGGAAAACTGAGTTAACCTTGAGCTGGTGAGGATCGAACTCCTGGCTCTGGGCAGAGTCAGCCTGTAATACTGCATTATAACAGGAAGAAAAGAAGGAAGGAAGGAAGGAAGGAAGGAAGGAAGGAAGGAAGGAAGGAAGGAAGGAAGGAAGGAAGGAAGGAAGGAAGGAAGGAAGATAGCAATAACACTTAGGCTTACATATCACTTTACCGTGCTTTCCAGCCCTCTCTAAGAGGTTTACGGAGTCAGCTTCTTACCCCCAACAATCTGGCTCCTCATTTTAGATGGAAGGCTGAGCCAACCCGAGCCTGGGGAGGTTTGAACTGCCAAATTGCAGGCAGCTGGCAGCCAGCAGAAGTAGCCTGCAGTACTGCACTCTAACCACTGCACCACCGTAGCTCCTAACAACAATATCAGATATATTAGAGGTATTTAGGGAGAAATCAATAAAATCTGGAGATAAATCAATGCAACCAGGTTCATTAAGCTCCAGTCTGATTGGTTTAGGCTACCTAAACATCTCCTGGTTGAAGTCATGGCACAGTCAACAATTTCTAGAAGAACCTACAATGAATTGGGTTCACCAGGTATGCTAAGCCACAAACTGTGGTTCATTCCCATAGGAAGGGGAGAAAATTGTTCTATTTACCAAGGATTGTCACCCTAGTTCCATTCCCCTGGCCATATCTATCAACTTCACAGGTATAGTTTCCAGAGTCCTCCTGCTTGATGTTCCTCAAAAACAGAGACGCTCGGTCTTTCAGAACACCAGTTCCATGTGTCATTAAGCTCTTCTGTCCATCAGAGGCAACCTTATACCATGAAACACGATGGAGGTGTTTGGTTTCCTTCCCCTGGACTCTACAGTCCATGGTGAGATTTTCCCCTTCTGTTGTCTGGATGTAAGGGGGTGACTGGATCACCAATAGATTTTCAGCTGCGTGGGGGAAAAAGGACAATTTCAGCAACCTTGGTGTGCTACTCAGTCAATGGCCAAAGAAAGCCTAAGGAGAAGGTTGGGTTGATATGGGCTGTATTTGTGAGACACCTCTATCTGCAGATTTGAGTTGGACAGGCTGGGACACAAGATGGCCTACATGAAGTGATTAGCTCAAAACTACCCCCTGAAATCCATGGCCGAGTGGATCACTTTCCAACACTTAGCTATTATAGCATTTTAGGTCTTCCAAGAGAGATGTGATGAAGCTTCCAAGGAGGCGGGATGACACCCTATCCCAGTGATGGCTAACCTTTTCAGCTTGGTGTGTCGAAAATCGGGAAAAAGTGTAGCCTTCCTCGGGTCGTGTGTCACTTCAAGAAATATCAATAATTTGGTTTATGACGGACTGGGCTGGGGCGATCACACAGGGCTGTGAAACTCGTCTCCCTGGTCTCAGGGCTGCAGGTGCAGGATGTGGGGATCGGAAGGCCACCTTACAGGGCTGTGAACCTCATGGATCTCCTTTCCTCCTGTTAGCGTTCCTGAGGTAATGAAACTGACAAACCTCAGTTTATGGCGGTTAAAACTGGTTCTCTGCTGCAAAGATCTTGCAGCAGCGGTGACACCACGCCTCCACGCAACAAGCAGGGAGCAGGGATTGGAGCAGAGCACAGGCAGCCTCTAAATGTGCAGGTTTTCCCCACACCAACAGGCGTGTCAGTCAAAGTGCCTCGGCGTGTCACGAGTGACACGCGTGTCATAGATTAGCCATCACTGCCCTATCATATATGACTGAAGCTGTGAGTTATCATCCCTACATTTCTGGTTTGCTCAAGACTGTTCACAGAAATTTACTCTTTGTTCTACTACGTCTACCATTTCCCCCCTCCCTAAGCCTTTTAAGAGGCTAATCTCCACTCTACCACTCTCTCCTGGAGGACCCAGGGTGGGCTAACTGAATCATGAAAACAGAGAAGTGAAATTAGACTGCAAATCTTTCTTGCAGAACTCTTGGTTTCCTATAATTTTTTTTTTTTTTTGCATTTCCTGGTCTCCATGAGAAAACATAACCATTCAGCAGAAACTCTTCCCCATCGTGTTCAGTAAATTGCTCTCTCTGTGTTTCCTGCTTCTAGTTTCAGATTTGACATTTCTGCCGGTAGCTATGAGGTGATCAGATTGTATGCCTGCTCTTTAAATATGCATAAATATAATTGCATTTGCTGGCCATTATTTTGAATGTCCTGTTAGCCACTCAAGGTCATTCTGGCAAGAGGGTGGCCATATATATTGATAGCAACACCGATCTAATCGACTATCCACAGATAACCCCATGCCCACATTCCAGGCCAAGGAAATTCAAATTTGGCAAGTTTAAGACTTGTGGACTTCAACTCCCAGAATTCCTGGGCTAACATGACTGGAGGAGGAATTCTGGGAGTTGAAGTCTACACGTCTTAAAGCTGTCAAATTTGAAGACCCCTGTTCCAGGCAGAGTACCAAATAGATTTATTTATATTTATTTGTTTTGTTTCTTCATTAACATGTCCTCGTGTTTAAGAGGAACAGGCTGAGAGTTAGCCCCGGGACACCCCAAAATGTAGCTGAGAGATACGCCTCTCCTAAAACATATGAAGAACCATTGCGGGAACTGGTCTAGTCTAATGAAAAGAAAGATTAGGGGTGACATGATAGCAGTGTACCAATATTTGAGGGGCTGCCACAAAGAAGAGGAGGGGGTGGTCAACCTATTTTCCAAAGCAGCAGAGGGCAAGACAAGAAACCATGGATGGAAACTAATCAAGGAGAGAAGCAACCTGGAATTAAGGAGGAACTTCCTAACAGTGAGGACAATGAACCAGTGGAACAGCTTGCCACCAGAAATCATGGGCGCTTCATTGCTGGAGTTTTTAAGAAGAGATTTAACAGCCACTTGTCTCAAATTGTATAGGGTCTCCTTGTTTGAGCAGGGGGCTGGACTAGAAGACCTCCAAGGTCCCTTCTGTTATTATTATTATTATTATTATTAAATCTGTTATTTTGTTATTTCATCAATGTCAACTGGAACCTGTCCGGAGGAAGGAGGGAAACCAGGGCACGACCGTTTCTCCCATCCTCAACTGCCAGAGTTGTGTTCAGAAATGGAATTGAAAGCTTTTGAAGGACCACCAAGAGCAAGGATGGATGCACTGACCCTACCCACTTCCACCAGAGATCATTTGCAAAGACGACTCATGCTGTTTTGAGCCTGGGCCTGAAACCCAACTTGAAGGGATCAGATCATCTGCTTCCTGTCCTCTTCTCTGAACTTGATGCACAATCACTTTGTCAATAACTTTTTCCCAAGAAAGCAACGATGAAAAATGTCCTTGAATGGTGGGGTTTAATAATGACTTTTGGAGGAAAGGGGCAAACCACCATCTACTCTCTCACCAATGCCAGAACTCAACCACAACTCACCTCCTGGGAAGCTTTAGCCCACCAGGAGAGTACGATGTGATGAGAGAAGAGAGAAGAGTTAGGATAAAAGGTGAGATATAAAGATAAGGCAAGACAAGCATGAGAAGAGACTCTGTTTGGTGCCAAATTTTCAGCAGTCTGATCCCAGGTAGCAGTCTCAGAAATGGGCCTGGTTCTGGAGTGCAATTTGCTGTCCTACAGAATAAAGTCAGGAAAAATCTGGTAGATCTAACTCAGATCACGAAAGCTGGTACCTTTTAATAAAATTTGCCTGTTGGAAAAAGTGCTACCAGATTCCTGATTTTGGACCATTGTGGATTAACATAACTCTCCTCCTACAATGTTGATGGCATGAAAGCCATGTCTTTATTGTTGTTTCTGATAACTTCTCAAGAACAACTGGTCATTTGCATCCTTTTAAGAGGGTGAGTGGTCCTCCTGGTTCCTGTAAAAATCCTCTAAAAGGATGCAAATGACCAGCTGTCTGCAAGGAATATAAATCCTTCCATTCCAATCCTTCCCCACTATCCTGTCCGAGCTGAAGAAGCTTCTTGGATAAGAAGCAAAGCATCTTCAAAAGAAAAAACCAGAAAGCCCAGTTGCCTCCTGAAAAAAATAGCACTTTTGGGACCACCATGATCTGAAGGACTGAGAACATCTACATATCAAGTCTACCACACAGTAGGCTCAGTTGTGACTGGCACTTTGGTGGCACAGGGTATCTGTTAGTTACAAAGTCTACAAAATTAGTTTGCGGGTAGGTAGTTTAATTTATGGCTTATATATAGTTTATATTGTGGGGTTGTGGGTTAATTAATTAAATGTAGGAGAGACTGGCAGAGCTGGAGGAAGGAGTCAAGCAAGGAATCAGTTTAGAATCCCTACATAGCCACAAGAGGACAATGTCCAACGCCCCTTGAATACTGTTGACCCTTGTCTAGCTTTACTCAGGTGCAAGCTGCTAGCCTGAGGAGATTTCTGTGCATAGACTTGAGCAATAAATCAAAAATTTAGCACCTTCTCATGTATGGATCAATGGTAGGTTTCAAAATAGTTTACTGCTGGTTCAGTGAGCATGGCTTGGTGGGCACACTTTGTACGTGCATGCCAAACCCACACTTTGCGCAGGTGCAGAAGCTTTCCAACTCACCTCCTGCACTCCTGCACTCTCCCTGTCGCTTCAGCAGCTGCCACATGACAATCGGCTGTGCCACGCAAAACAGCTGCGCTTCAAAAGCAGGAAATAAAGATTAGTATGGGAGCCCAGCATCGGAGAACTGGTTCAGATTCTGCTGATCTTCTGTGCAATCAGTACGCCAGAACCAGGCCGAACTGGTAGAATACGACCACTGGCATGGATCTGGTTGTTTGGACCTGACATTAAACCATGGACGAGCACAGAGGTAGTATTCAGCAGATTGTGACCAGTTCGCCAACCTTTTGGAGCTCAGGGACCACCAAACTCATAATTCTAAATCCTGAGGACCAGAGACCCTGGAAACCCCCTCAAAAAAAGTCTGCAGGAAAACTCCCCTCCCTGTTTTCCTATCGATCAATCATTCTTTATTTGGGATTGCTCCATTCTTGGGCTGGGGGGAGGAGAGAGAGAGAGACTTTTGGCTTCATGCAAGGAAAGCAGCAGAGGCAGCAGAAGTCTTTCTTTCTCTCCCCCAAACTCCACCAGAAATGAGTCTTTGTGAGACTTGTCGCACCAGTGCAGCCTCTTGGAGCAGGAGGCATTGCAGGATCCCAAAGACTCATCTCTGGCAGAGTTTGGGGGAGAGAAAGAAAGACTTTTGCTGCTTTCCTTGCATGCAGCCAAAAGCAGAAGAAGAAAGAAGCAGAAAGAAGCAGCCTGGTGGCCAGGTGAAGCGTGTGGGGCAAGTGGAGCAAGTTCCCCCCCCCTCCGCTCTTTCCCCCCTCCCCTCACTATGTGTTGTTCACAATGCAAGCGACACAAGCCTTGTGTTCCTGCGGGCCATGTGGGTGGTGCAGCCTTGTGTTCCTGCACAGCCTGGATTAATTGCTTTGGGGGGGGGTGACATTTCTCTGCGGACCACCAAAATTTTCTCGCAGACCACCAGTGGCCCCCGGCCCACTGGTTGGCGACCACTGTTCTAGAGAACCAGTAAATTTTGACTAGTTTGGAGAGTCGGCAAATGCCACCTCTGACCAGAGATTTTATGGCATCACGCCCACCAAGCCACGCCCACAGATCCGGTAGTAAAAAAAAAATGAATCCCACCACTGGACCAGCATAGTAAGACCACACAGAAAATTCCTGCCATGAATTGGAGTGTCGGCCTCCATATGCAATGCCCGCCAGCAGTAAAAGACTCTAACATTGGATCCCTCCAGCATGCGAAGCCGGTCTCATTTGGAGAGGATTCCATGGCTACACGGAGATCCCCTATGACATTACCTCACAGTGCTAACCGGGAGTTGGAGGCTGAATGGGGGATTCCCAGATGACGTGTCTGCAGTGCTCTGATCCATGAACACTTTGTGGAGGCGTCTGCTTCTATTGAGAGAGGATTTATACTTCTTATGTTACAGGGTGGTCGTGGCAAGTAGTGGGGATCGGTGGTAGGTAGGGTGCAGAGCGATCTAGGCAGTGGGACGTAGGATACGTGGGAGAAGTCGAATTAGCCACATTAGGAAAGGAGGGATAACTGGGAAACCAGAGTAGGGCAGTGCGCAGGAGTTAGCTATGATTAGATGGGTGGGGCAATGCTATAAATGACGCTGGAAGGCAAATGCTCCCAGCGCTAACCTGACTTGGAATTCAAACCGTTATTGCCAGATGGGATGTGCGTTACGTGTACAAATTAGAGACTTCAAACCTCGATGTTTGTTGGGTTGTATCTCAGGACTACAAACATCCGGAAGACCGGCTAACATGGAAATCTTATTGTGTGGAAGTGATGAACGTATTATTGCTAAGATTTATCAAATGTTATTTGAAATTGAATTCGGAAAGTGAATATGTAAAACATTGTATGATTCATTGTATGCTGCTAGGATTTCCTACACACAATTTTGGAAGCAGGAAAATGTACCATTAGAGGGAGTTGTCATAAAAAAAAAAATTTAGACTGTGCAGAGATGGAGAGACTAACAATGAAATTAAGAGACAAAGAAGAGTCGATATATTATAATGTCTGGGATGCCTGGTATGAATGGTTTAAGAATAAAAAGAAATCAAAATGGCAATTAGGTAAAGAATCGGAAACTATGTAAATACTTATATCTATATTCATATCTATCTATATTTATTTATATATTAAATTGAAATTGTATAATAAAAGAAATGTGTATATAAAAATGATAAGGAAATGTAACAGATGTCTTGACGTTGATATAATGATGTATAAAGTTTTATTTTATGTTTTTAAATTTTGAAAACTAAATAAAATTTAATAATTGTTAATTGTTAAAAAAAATTGTATGATTCAGTGGGCAAGGAATTTTGGATATAAGGTGATGCTTGAACAATGGGAAACTATGTGGACAAAGGGTTTAAAATTTACACTAAACTATCATTTAAAAGAACATTTTTATAAGATGATGTATCGCTGGTATTTAACCCCAGATAAGTTATCTAAGATGTATAAAGATATTTCAAAATGAATGTTGGAAGTATAAAAGCAAAGAAGGGACTTTTTATCATTTCTGGTGGACATGTGATAAAGCAAATAAATTTTGCAGTCAGATTCATAGTTTAATACAGAAAATTCTTAAAATGAAGACAAAGATGAAACCAGAAACTTTTCTTTTGGGTTTAATGGAAAAAGACTTGGAGAAAAAAAACTGGAACTTTGATCTCATGTGTGTTGACAGCAGCAAGACCCGTGTCCAAAAATGGAAGGACGCTTCAATTCCCATGAAGTGGGAACGAATGGCTGCAGAAGCGGATGGATTTGGCAGAAATGGCTAAATTGACCATTTTGAGTAAAAAAAAGAATATAAGTACTACTTTTGAGACTTTGTGCTCAAGGTGGGGGGAAAATGAAACTTTGATTTGGGGTTTTACCAATTAGATTGATAGATGCTTATAGAAATGACTAGTCTATATTACTATGAAAAGGCAAAAAGTTTGATGCTAATGCTTTATTTTACTGCAACAGAGGGAGCTGGAATGCTTTCCTCCCCCTTTTTCCCAGCCCTTCCTCACCTCTCTTCCCCCTCTATCCTCCCACTGCCTTTCTATTTACTTTTGTATTTTGTATCTTATCTCAGGGGTTTCCAATCTTGGCAACTTTATGACTTGTGGCCAGAATTCCACAGCCAGCAAAGCTGGGAGTTGAAGTCCACAAGTCATAAAGTTGTCAAGGTTGGAGACCCCTGTCTTATCTTATAATCTAATAAAATGTTTTACAATTTTTTTAAAAAGGAGAGAAAATCCCTGCCACTTACCAGCAATCTGAACACGTGTTCCATTTCCTGATCCTGTTCGATTTCCGATCCTGATTACACAGACGTAGTTTCCCGAATCCTTGACATCTACATTCAGTAGTTTAAGAATCGCTTTCTGTTTAAATTTCTCATAGTGTTTTAGGTTTGGGTACTCCTGGTTGTCTTTGTACCACGTCACTTCCATCAAACTGACATCGGCAACTCTGCTAAAATTGCAGGTAATGGAGATATTTGCCCCTGCTTTTCTGTTGGCGTATTGTGGAGTCTGATACACTGTTATGTTGGGCTTTTCTACAACAATAAGAACAACAACAAAATCATAATTTGCATCCATATTTTAGCCCTGCTTTGTGTTGAAGCAAAGAAAATAGAATTGTGTAAAATATTAAGAGAAGAGTCATGTGTGTTGTGGCCTGCCGGCAGCTAATGGAGCTGGCAGCAGAGTTGGACAGTAGTGAGGAGGTTGGGGAGGCCATTCCTGGAGGCTGAGGAGGGCTTGGACGAGGGCTCTGCATCAGAGGCAGGGATGGGGCCAGGGCAGGCTGACAGTCACCAACTGCCTTCAGACTCAGACAGCAGTGAGGCAGAGGGGTTTCTAGAATCAGTTCACCAGCCTGCGCATGCGCAGAACTGCCAAAAGGAAGGCACAATTCAGAATGTAGGAGTAAGGCCACAGGTGGACAATGAATGGCCCCTCCCATCAGGACTAAAAGAGAAGCAATGGGGAGGGGGGGCTTTTGCAGGAAACAACTCGCTTGTTCGGTCGTCCGTTCGTTCCAGCCTCGTGAGGATTTGTCTGTATAACCCAGCTCTTCCCTGCCAGGAGTAGTGCAGTGGTGGTATTCGACTGGTTTGGCCCAGTTCTCGTGAGCCAGTAGGAGCAATGAACAGCAGAGAGCGAACCAGTTCTCTTTGCTACTCTGCTGTTGGGCCCACCTGCCCGCCCGGGCTTCTGGGCTCACTTTTATCAGCTGAATTTGAAGCGCAGATGCTTTGCGCAACACAGAATAGTGCCGCACGGCAGCTGCTGAAGCGACCGGCATCATGCAGGCTTGCGGGAGGCGAGTTAGAATGCCTCTGTGCCTGCGCAAAGTGTGCCTTTGGTGCGCACGTGCACGCAAACTGTGTGCATGCGCGCAAAGCACGCCCACCAAGCCACACCCACCGAACCGGTGGCAACAATATTTGAATCCCACCACTGCAGCATTGAGTGTGGAACTATTTACTGGGCAGCATTTCAGGATTGATAAAGGTCTGAGCTGATTAGTCTACCTTCACAAGCCTTTGGCTGAATGTGAATGAAATAAATTCACATGAATGTAATAAAAGAGGTTTTTGCCAGGACTCAGAATTGACTTTGACTGTATCTTTGGCTGAATGTGAATGAAATAAATTCACATGAATTTAATAAAAGAGGTTTTTGCCAGGACTCAGAATTGACTTAGTGCTTTTTGGAAAGACCTAGGACAGAACAATATACTTTACAATTGTAACCCCAAACACATGTACACATACACACACACACACACACACACACACACACACACACTGCTGCAACAGATAATTGATGGACTCATTAAGAACGTTTTATTGGCCGGAAAAATCGGTCTGCTAAATTTGGTAACAGATTTCAAAGTACAGGCAGTCTTCATCTTACAACCGTTCACTTAGTGACCATTTGAAGTTACAATGGCACAGGCATTGTAGGACTTAGGACCATTTTTCACACTTATGACCATTGCAGCATCCGCTTGGTCTACATTCGCATGCTTGGCAACTGACTCACATTATGACGGTCTCAGTGTCCCAGGGTCACGAGGTCCCCTTTTGAGACCTTCTGACAAGCAAAGTCAACGGGGGAAGCCAGGTTCACTTAACAACCATGCTGCTAACTTAACAAGTGCAGTGATTCGCTTAACGAATGTGGCCAGTAAAGTTGTAAAATGGAGCAAAATCCACTTCACGAATTTTTTCACTTAACGATGTAAATTTTGGGTTCAGTTGTGGTCATACGTTGAGGGCCAGCTGTATCCTCTATGCAGGGTGTTTATCAAAAGAACTTCTAAAAAAATACTCCCTAGTATAAAAATATATATTCAAGAGCCAGTTTGGTGTAGTGGTTAAAGCAAGAGAAAGAGTGCAGTTTAGACGCTTTGTGCGAGAGAAAGAGGGCAAAGACAGCTCCTTCCTAACAGTTCCCAGAATGTATGTTTTATGGCAAGGCAGGGGTCCCCAACCTTGGCAATTTTAAGCCTGGTGGACTTCAACTTATTTATTTCATTCACAGTCAGCCAACGGCTTGGTAAACAGTCTTGCAAAGGTGGACTAATGAGCTCAGACCTTTATCAATCCTGGAATGCTGCTTGGTAAATTGTTCCACATTCTAGTCTTGTTTGACTGAACTGGGGGTTGGACTAGAAGACCTCCAAGGTCCCTCCCAGCTCTATTATGATTGATTGATTGATTGAGCAGGGGGGTCTCAAAAGCTGGCTGGGGAATTCTGGGAGTTAAAGTCCTCCAGGCTTAAAGTTGCCAAGGTTGGAGACCCCTGTTTCATAGTGCAGAGACTCTGTGAATGATGAATAGTAAAAGGTATCACCGGTAATCTTTGACTTATAACCACAGTTGACCCCAAAATTCCAATCATTAGTAAGAAATTTGTTCAGTGAGTTTTGTCCAACTTTATGACCTTTCTTGCCACAGTTATCAAGTGAATCACTGCAGTTGTTAAGTTAGCACTGTGGTTGTTAAGGGAATCCGACTTCCCCATTGGCTTTGCTTATCAATCAGTCAGAATAGAGCTGGAAGGCACCTTGGAGGTCTTCTAGTCCAACTCCCTACTCAATCAATCAATCAGAATGTCAGGATTCCAGCAATTACTCCAATTAAATCATGAGACTCGAGCCACACTCCCAAAAGTAAAGAAGATTTATTTGAAGATAACATTCTACATCCAGCATTTACCTGGGGGCGGACAACTTTGAGATACGTAATTCACTGTCACCCTTGATCCTTCTCCCCCCCCCCACCCCTCTGGGTGTATCATCCAACGAAACACGTCCATAGCCAAGAGTCATCAATCATGCTCTCCAATTAGATTTTTGTGCAGCAGAAGCTTCAGCCATCTAATCAGTCTTTGAAGAAAATATGAATGGAATGTACTTTCGATTCCACACTGCTGCCTGCTCTTTGAAACTCTCCCCCTTCTTTCTGTTGTCAACTATAAAACATGTATACAAAATGTTTTATGAGTTGACACAGAATAGAGCTGGGAGGGACCTCTGAGGTCTTCTAGTCCAACCCCCTGCTCAATTAATCAATCAGAATAGAGCTGGAAGGGACCTTAGATCTGTTCGAAACTCTACGTACTTTTTATGTGTGTCCTGCTACCATGGCCACCATCTTGAATCTCTGAGGACACCCTATTGGCCACTGGACAGAAATGGTTTGTGAGTGCCTTTTTCTGGAGTGTTAATCTACAGCCTGGAAATGTCCCACCAGATTTCTTACTTTTATATAGTTATATAGAGTCCATTCAAGGTGCAAATCAATCCTACCACTTTTTGCAAGACTAATTAGATCCTCTCCCAAATCCAGCTGAACTGCTACATTTTCATAGCATGGACAACAGCAAAAAGAATGCAAGAGTTCCTTAGCGTAACTAAATAAATAAATAAAAACTAAAAATAAACAAGCAAATAAACAAGCAAATAAATAGGCATATTTACCCCAGATGGTCACATTTGTGCTCCCATTTTTCAAAACCTTTAAATAGCCAATTTGACAGTGATAGATTCCAGAATCAGCAACATCAGCTGACTTCAAGGTTAAAATGCTGGATTTGTCCGTTTCATTTTTATTGATTAAAATCCGCTTTGAAATTTTGATCTTTTCTTTTCCCCCCATTTTCATCCAGTCCACAAACCACTTTGAAGAAATGTTGCCTTCCACTTTGCAATTCAACATCACATCTGAACCTTCGGATACGTTCAAAAAAAGAGGCGTCTGAATGACGGAATAGGGTGGAGAGCTTGACGCTTCTTGATTCCCTGTGGAACCTGGATGGGAAGCAGAAACATGGCAGCCCGTTGAAGCCTTAAAATGAAAACATTGTAGTCAAGGACAGGGAAGCTAAATCTGAATTTCAACTCATTTTCACTGAGGTCATATGTGAGAATGATCTTAGGAGGTAGGAGAGACAGAGAGAGCTGCAGATTGGAGAACCAATATGTAAAACTATTTAACCAGCGTGTTTGTAACTGTAGAGTCCTTGGTGCTCTCTGAGTTTGGTTTTTTATCCCTCCTGCTCCTTCTTTCAAACCTCACTCCTTTCTAGCACTGATGATGTTATCTAGCTGGATCATGAGACATCTGCAAGAAAACAACCAAACTCAGAAAGCACCAAGGACCCCTCATTTCAGTCCTGAGTACACATATTCCCCTTTATTGGAAGAGAAATTTTGAAGCTCAGGATTGAATTGTGGAGTCCTTGGTGTTCCCTGATCTTGGCTGGGAAGTGTGTGTGTGTGTGTGTGTGTATGTGTGTGTGAGACCCAACATCATCCTCTGGTCTGTCAAGAATATATAACTTCCTCTCTGTTTTCTTATGGGAGGTTTTATTGTTGTTATTATTAATTTTATTTTTTATGACCAGAGCTAAGTGACTCTGGGTGGCTCACAACTGGTAACAACAATAAACAAAGTTAAAAGCCAATATACAAACATATAAAAACTTCCATCATCAATATAAAAACATAAAATCATGCTCAGCAGCAGAACTCATTCTACCTCAGCTCAATACAGCTGATTTCTGGTCTTTCCAACGGAGCTTTGACTCCTGGCAGCTACCTGGACAACATCTTGCTGTTTCATCCCACTTTCAATCTCGGTGTTAGGATCTCGGTTATTTCATATTATTTTTTGCTTCATTATGCTCTCTCTCACAACTTCCCTTTCCTTTGTGGGTTGATGCTACTTCCCCATGTCATTCGGGACTTTTTGACTCCGCTCTGGTTTCCCATCTCAAGCAGAAGCTCTATGTGGCATCTGCAGCTGTGGAACTCAGGTGCATTACGACAATGTTGCACAAATGATGAACATGACAAAAATCGGGGAGGTTTCCAAGATGACATCAAGATGCATGTGACATCCTAGGAGATTGTACTGGAAGCTCATAGCTACTTCCTCCTCCAGTCTCAAGTCCCCCTCCGCCAACACCCATTCTGCCTTTTCCTACTACTTCTAAGATGTGACTTTCAATTGCATCATGCTTCTGCAACCAACTTCAGTTTTGCTTTGGTGCATTTCAGGAAAGGAAAATGATGGCCACCAAGGAGATAAAAGCTGTCCTTATAGTTGCTCTTCCTTCTTGCCAACTTCACTAAAATTGTGATCCCTGACAATTTACTTGACTGTGCCATTTAGGAGTGGCAAAGCCTGAGTGCCAGTTATATCAAACCAACAGTTCGATCATGACCTGGGCCAGGGAAGAGAATGACAGCATTAGTACCACATTTCTAGAAAGATCGGGGTCCAATGGATGCAACAAAGCCAATACAGAGACCTGAAGTCATGTCCAATGAGGGCAGGTTGAAGAACCTGAGGATGTTCTTCTCCCAGTCTATTCTACTCTACTCTACTCTACTCTACTCTACTCTACTCTACTCTACTCTACTCTACTCTACTCTACTCTACTCTACTCTA